CTTACCAAATGTAACTGATACCTGTTGAACCATTTCTGTTGTATTCAGCGGCTTAATCACAAACATTAATAGTCGTAATGAAAAATGTGGCGGCACAGGGCCCCGCGGAGGTAAGACAGAAATGGTGGGATGAAAACAAAGAAATCCTCAGCTGTCATAATGGGAGCGTAGGAGCTTTGGGAGGAAGACCTGTGACAGCTCCTGTGGTGTTTTCCACTGATGAACGCATAGCAGGCACAGCATTCAAATTTATATGGAGACACCATCCTCAGCCTAAAGACACTTATAAGCCATGTTGTTTCTTTGTTTTTAATCATTAGCAACGTCTTCCAAAAGCCATTATGCAATAAATATACAGCGAGTTTAAATACATTTGAAAAAAAAGGGAGTCTTTGTGAGTGTAAATGCTCCCTGTCACAGGTTTGTGTTTGCAGGCACTGCTCATGCTTCTGGCTCCTGGGCGCATATAAAGGAATTTCAGTTTTTCAAGAAGCAACAAAGAGAATAATGAATAGGAGTCAACAGCAGCACACTTTCACACTGATGTCATCATCTTTATAGGTTGGAATAACAGCTGCTATGAATCACATTTACACATTGATCCGTGCAGCACTTTCAAGTGTGTGGAGGACTTATTTTCTGTATCTTTATTTACACAAAAGCATGTCTTAAGCATCCTTACTCCGACCAGTGATGATGTAGGCACTTAATCTCAAGGCACTGTTTGCTCTCCCATCAGCCCGTCTAAGTGCACGCTGTTCTAACAGCACCATGTCTGCTTTATTTCAAATGTAAGACGTACTGTCCAAGTATGCCCAATCTGGCATATTCCTTTATGGGGAGAGCAGGGTGGAAATAAGACGGCTGCGCATTGCTTTGTTTGCTGAACACGGCTGTGTAACAGCCAACAAATTCCTGAGTATGTTTCGGTTTTTCCAAAACTGAGAAAAAATTCAGTCTCAGTGGTTTCCAAAAAATACACGGAAAAACGTTTCAGCACAGCTCAACATTTTTAGAATGATAAACGATCACATATGTGGCTCTGAAACGAGCATCCACTCCCTTCTTGTGAGTTAAATCCATAACAACACAAAGAGACAGATGCAGGACAGATCAGTCACTTCAAATAAAGAGTATCGCTTCAGCTAAAGCTCCAGAAGGACCGTTTTGTCCAAGCCCCAGCAGAAACAGTGTCTGAGAACACATCACCAAAAAATCTCGCTGTGTAAATAGTGGGTTGTAAATTATGCAAAGGCAACTTACCTGCTTTTGTCTTGACAGAATAAGATGACAGGATTAACATGTAGGCCCTCAACATGTATATTTTCTCAAACATAAACTTTGTGCCCTATATAATAACCCAATCCATTGGTAAGTAAGAGAGAGTCAGAATAATAAAAAGGACTGCCAGAAATAAAGGATGTGTATGAAGCTATTCATGTTTTCTATGGACATCTGTGGATCAGATCGGTTACACCATCGACACCTTCCTTCATATGTGCCTATTTGCATTTGAATTTGTTTTGTTCAGGAAAAAAATGCAAGGAGCCCCTTTTTTAAAATACCATCATCTGACGCCCCTTATTGTGTTTGCCTGAGCACTGCGTTTCAACACTGAGGCTGTTCCGCGCCTTCAAGTCTTATCAATGACGACTGTCAAAATTTGAGTCCAGACTTGTTCGCGTTTATCAAATTTCCTTCCATTAAAATGGATTGAAGGGGATCGAACTTGATTCAGCTGGAGGAGAATTTGACTGAACTGACTGGATTTAATCATCCCTGGGATGGCTTACATTTCACTGAAAACCACAGTCATTGTTGGTGGTAGCTGAGGTATCAGAGGAACTGTAAACTGTATTAGAATCATACTCCTGGGGCTGTCTCAGCAAAGTTTCACTGTAATCCATAAAAATTTATTGAGAAGGAGAAAAAAAAGATAATTCTTTGCAATAGTTGGGAGAAACACAGGTTTTATGGATTCCGCTTTATGAGATTGAATCCCCAAAGTCCAAAACAAAGTCAATTGGTGGAATCTTTAACCAACTAAGTTAAGTGGCCAAAAGAAGAGCTTATCTAGTGTGTGCTGGCCACCCATAGGATGGACACTTTAGGTAAGTATAAGAGACCAAACAGCATGAGCACATAACTGGGACAATGCTTATTTTAGTAATCGGTCAAACAAGGCTAACAAAACGCCAGTGGGGTGCCTTTGTGTTGGCACGAGCTGGTACTAGCGTGGGCATGGGGCACTTTCAAATGTCACCGATTCAAAAGTAGCATCAAGCTGTAAGCAAGTGGCATTAGGCAAACACTAGCCATCTGGACAGGCACGAGTTTAAATATGAATTTCCAATATGTCGGCTGTAACGCAGACGAACGTGCAGAGGAGGGCACTGAGTGAAGCAACATTTTTCCTCAATGCTGCAAAGGAAATCTGCATGGATTGAAGTGTTTATCATTTCACATCCCTCATTTTCATCCTTTTTTTTCTTCTGCTGCGACTTTAAATCTGTAAAGTTTCAGATCAGTTTCCCCAGCACTTTGATGCCATTCAGGTTGAAGGTGAGCTGCGTCTCATGGTAATGTGTGTAAAAGTAAAGCTGACATTTCTATTTACACAGTGTGTGTAGAATTTATGATTCACATAACTAAGAAAAATTCAAATTGTTTTAAAACAATGGCTTAATCTGAGTACCTTGCAGGGATGCTAAAAGGCCCAATATTCAGGAAAGATTCTAAAACAAACAATACTTCAGACGAAACCTCGTTAACTGATTAGACACTTTTAGCACCGCAAAGGCATACAAATTTGTACTAAACTCTAAATAAGCGGTGAGGCCACCAAACAAGAAGATTTCCGATGTGCAGTCGGTAAGTTGTAACCTTCATTTGCGTTATGGCCTATTACAGACTTGTGAAAAATGGAGCAGGACTTTAGACTTCAACAATATTGGAAAAGAAAGGAAATGATGAGTTGATGTATATATGGGTGATCTTCACGAGAAAAACTATCCCAAGGTATTACTTATTGAGCAACGCAAGCATCCTTCTCTTGAAAGTGGCAGTGAATTTGGTCGTAAATAATTTGCAGGAATAAAACAACTGGGAAACTAAAGAAATGGAGAAATATTCCCACATTCACTTTGTATTAATAAAGGCTGATTTGTTCTTTTATGCTTTTTCTGGCAGTGGATACTTAGATATGCAACCCTCCATGCATATTCATGAGTAAATAATGGTAAAAAGCTCATTCATAATTAACATTCCTCTACAGTTTTGTGGACGGAGGTGCGAGGGGAGCAAAAATCTTTAAAGTCTCGGCGCGGTGCTTTTGGAGTCAGAAATGCCTGCTCTGGTGTTGGAGCGCCCGTTAACCCGCTTCTGATTATCTTGAATGGGAGGCATCTAAAAATAAACGTGCATCACTTCATGTGGACTACAGGAGGTTGCCATGACAACTGGCCTTGTTTTTGTGTCAGGGGAGGCCAGCTGAATCCCCGCCAGCGAGGAGGAGGGGCTTGATGGGAGGAAGGGATGGTCAAGAAAGGGTGGAACATGAGGCCGGAGGACAGGAGGAGGGGATGGGGAACACAAACACAGGCGGTGGTGGCAACAAAAGATGAAGGATTTAATGAAATCATGAATGAAAAAAATATCAAAGGAAGATGTGAGAGGATGCTATGCCTCACCGGGGATGCTACACCTGCTGGTGTGTGTTTGTCGCCGACCTATCTTTCCATTCATGTCCACACTTTGGGTTTGCCCCCATCAAAGCGCCATGCAGCCTTTTCCTATCAGCAGGTGAGCAGAACGCTGTTTCGGTGCATTTCAACAGAGGCATTCCCTGACATCCTCCCTTCTCAAGCTGTCCTCATGCCCCATTTCAGCATCACACCCCCACCCACCCACACACACACACACACACACACACACACTCACACAAACACAGCCTCCTAGACCCCTGCTGAGCTAAAAAAGGAAAATCTAAAGATAGCAAACGCAGCGAGTTCACTGGAGAGAAACCGAGGAGACGGGGAAGTGGGGAAGAGCACCTGCAGTCAAAAATAGCACGTGAGGGCCTTTCGATCGGGCTATTTATATAACACAATTGGGGCAAATTCTGCCGGTGTCATGAACATTTTCTCTCAAAAGGTCTGACATTTGTTTCCAGCTTTCAGGGCTGTTCATGTCTAAACTGAGCAGAACTCCAACAAATATACCAACAAAGGAGCTGGTGAATGTGCATGGCCGTTCATTCAAAAACACCATCGTTGTTCTGGGAGGGAAATATTTGTCTGTGTGTAGCCTGCATAGATAGCATGTAGTAGATCTAACCTGAGAGATAAAACAAATACAGAATCTGATCATGAGAGTCCTCCACACAGGATTTAGTCCCTGTGTGGGGTTTCATCAGACAGCGCCTGATAAATGCATACTTGTCTGCTCCAGCTCCGGAAGTAGCTCTTTGTTTTATGTGAGCTATAGAATATCAGACAGAAAGTAGGCCTGGGAAACAGAGAGTTTTAGAGTGCGAAAAGATGCTAAATGATTTTTTAAAGCATACAATAGTCCAGGTCCTGCTCATAATAATACAGTACCTGTCACACAAAAAACACAGCACTGTGCTACACCATGAAAAATGCTAAATAATGCAGGGGAGGAGAACATGCTCCTAGAAAAAAATCAGTTTGTTACAGAGGCCAAAGAAAGTAATGGGATTTTTGAAGGGTCTTTAATGAGTGTTGGAATATATATAAAAACACTGGAAAAAATAGCAAAAAAAGGCCCCAGTTTCTAAAAAATAAATGTTTTAAAAAATAAGGAAAAGATGGAATTAGACTGATTTCAATATCTTTTCTAATCACAGGAAAATAATCCTTCAATCATGAAGCAGAGTGTGGAGAAAAGCAGATATCACAGCACCCTTCAGTGATGATCCAAACAAAAAGTCAGTCAGCCCCAGATGTATGACAACAACTGTATTTGTATTTGTTGGTTATAAGTGAGACTGCCAGCTGTAAATGAAGAGCACCATCCATCCATGTCATTCATTTCCATCCAGGATCAGGAAGGAAAACGTCCCTCTCTCTCCAGCTCCTCCGGGGCATTCCCAGGTCACCCCTCGGCCCACACCAGGTTCAGCCCAGCCGTCCCCCAAAGGAAACCGACTTCAGCTGCTTGACCACATGATTTTGTTCTTCTCCTTGTAGCCAGAGTCATGGTAAAATTGAGCTTTTGTAAATGGATTTTTTCAGTTTGAGTGCACCTTGACCAAATAAATGGAATTTTAGAAATACTTCCATACGTCATGTTTTCTATTTGCTGCGGAATAGCAAACATGTGTCAGTTCATACCAGGAGCTGCACAGTCATCAGAGCATCACCGTGCTGTGTTCAGTGTGTGTGGATGGATGAACCAGAAAAATTCTGAGGTTAAAACGCTCCGCTGTAAGTGCCGCTCCTTTACAGAGCTAACCAGCTGCTGGCTATGAGACACTCTGTGCAACCAGCCATGCAGTCAGGCTGACACTGAGCAGAAAAGCTTTTCTGTTTTCTGGAAAAACTCTGGAAGAACGTTGCAGTTAACTGGAAGCCAAATGGCTCAGAAAATGTATTCATGGGAAGCCCTGATTGTTCATTTTACCCATTCTTTTCTCTTTACTACTTCCTTATGAAGAACACAAACATTCGTTTTTTTAACATAAACAAATAATTGTCTCTTTTTGAGATTTTGTTCCTATATTAGATAATGATTAGAGGACGACAGACAGGTCCTAGTTTTGTCAAGCAATTTGACGTTATTTCTACATTTTCCATCCCATCTCCACTGTTAAGCAGTATTTGTTATCTATAAACATCTAATTTCATTAAATAGAACTTATATTAGAATTCTCTAGATGAGTCAATCTCAGAGTCAATCTCAGCACACCTTTGTTACACAAAGGTGAGCAAAGGAATAACAACAAGTCTAGTCTCAACTGCTAATCCCTCCGGTGAGATGGGAAACCAGGTATCGAATGCTCGGAAAGGAAATGGAGCTTTTAAAGGCCATCCACAGGAGACATGCACCTGATACGCATCGCTATCCGGTCCGGCCACAACAGAAGAAGTCGGTCTCTTCAAAAGAAAATGTCACGGTGCTCCTGCCTGATTCTGAACCTTCAGTTGTGCCAGTACGTGTATGGTCGAAGGAGTCGTGGCTGCAGTGTTTTTTCAGCCCCTCACTCTCGTCCACGCTGCCGAGTTTGGCTTTCTTCTGGCAAATTCCCCATCACACGCTGCTTAGCTTCAGTGATATGCATCGCTGCTCGTTTAGGCTCTGAAGGTGTGGAAAATACTCAGCGTTTTTTTTTTTTAATTCATGATTTATTTTCAAAGGAACGAGGGCGCCGGAACCTAAGAAAACCTTTTTCCTTTCGGTTATCAACGTTATTACTTTGTGCCTCGGTTTTTAATGCTCTCCCAGCTCCACAAATTTAAGGTTTAATGATTAACCCTGGCGCTAAATTTTGTCCAAGTGTGCACTTGAGAGAGTAATAACCCTCTGCTGGTCTTTCACATTTCTCTGAAGCTGGCCACTCGGCCCGTGCCATTGTTGAGAGCTTATCCTAACTAAAAAGCCCAGCCAAACAGTATCATTACCAAATCAAGAGAACGGCTCGAACAGGCACTAATCTTTGTTTTGTTTCCAAAAACAAATCATGCAAACAGCCACTCAATCCAAGAAGATGCTCAAACGCTCCAAACACAACAATAAAGAAGTGTTCAGTTAAAAATAACAGTCATCTCCTGAATGCTGCAAGTGTAAAACATTTAGACGAAGAGAGAAAACTGAAAGGATGACATCACATGTAACAGAAAAACTGGACGGCTTTTAAAGGAATGAAAACGGAGACAATCAGGGTGTGCAAACAGCACCAGAACACCACTGAAACATGCTGAGTTAAACAGATGGCCTATGCATGGTGTTTGCATACTAAACAGCTCTGGATCACCATGCACGGCCGAGCCAGAACAAACAGCAGGCGTCTCTTCCCTGTCTGCCGGTAAACATGCACTTTTTACACCCTGAGAACACGGGAAGGGCTGAGTGAGACAGACAATAAGCATTCAGTCTCAGAGTAGATACCCCAATACCCCGAGGAATGGAATGAAGCGAAAACCCACTTTGTGCCTCTGACGCAACCCATGAGTCCCAAAGTGAGGAGAGGATAGCGCCAACATTCGCAAAAGCAGGCAGAATACGGCTGAAATCCAGTTTAAAAGTGATCCCTCCACAGAGGAGCGGTACACATTACACTAAATCATTGGCATGAATACATTATACCAATCACACAAGCTATATGTGACTCCTCATCTGTGGGAGGTCGGTTTGAAGAGTCTGGGGGAAGCGGCGTGGGGGACCGAGCAGCTTTCCCACTGAGGATTTAACAAAACCAGAGATGGTACCCACCTTCAGAGGAGGGACAGGCAGAGGCTTATTGTCTTTGTCCAGGGAGATGAAAGTGAAGAACGCAGACACGGCGCGGTATTTCCCTTTCTCCTTCTCCACCAGCGAAGCCGCATCCACCAACACTTCAATTTCCATCGACCTGTTGCTGACAAAGGTGAGCCGCCCCGTCACTGTCACCACGCAGCCTTGGGAGGGAAGAAAAAAAAGACATCCAGTGAATCGATTTTCAGTCTTCTTATGTATAGACCAGTCAAGCCGCCATGAAAAAACTCTTCAACCAGACTGAAAAACATTTCACTCAAACACCAACGATGTCGGGATGTAAATTCACTTTGGGTGGACAAAACTTTGACTTTTCACAGTGAAACTCAAAAAGGTGCTGAACATAATGGAAACTTCAAACAGATTTCAGCCGTAGGATTACCGACTGTAAGTCTTTGTCTAATGAAGCCAGATCGGGGTAGAAATGAAGCTGAGGTTGTTTTTTCTTAGTCGTTCAGAGGATTTACACACGTCTGCACAGCTGCAGAGCATTTCCCTATTTTCCTTTTGATTTCAGTCTAAAATGCATCTCATCAATCCGACGCGTTTGAAACATAAAAAAGGCGTTTCTTTTATCCCTTTGTCATCACATAGAGGAAAACACAGAGGTAATACTGGGCATTGCTAATGTGTTTCTTTATTCCCTTTCATGTCCCTGTACTGTATTATTAGGGCTGTTGCCATAGAGATGAGGAGAGAAGATGTTATCGCTACATTATGAGACTGATGGAGTACATAACTGAGATCATGTAAAGCAGGAAAGTTCTGAGTGATAAAAGATTCACATGGGATTATTCTGTAGTTTTTTTTTTTAATGCTGTTTTGGTAGAAGTTTGTAATGGGAGTGATAGGAGAAGATTTCAGAACCTTTACTGACTTTAAAGGACCAGAGCAGTCAGGTTGAAGGTATACGCACATGAAACATGCAAGCCAGATTAAAATATGTATATCATTCATAAGACAAATCTGACTTAAACTCTACTAAAGTACCTTATGTTGGGTTCCTCTTACTGATATACTATACTACAAACAAATAATCGTTCCTGAATCCTCAATGAACCACGTGGATTCAAAGGCAAACGAGGGAACTGAGGGAAAGGAAGTTGGTGGAGAGACAAAGAAAACGCACATCACATCAAAACAGGAAATTAAGAGACCCCAGAACCCTAACAGGAAACCCAGAGAGGATAAAACAAGTGTTGTCTCAACAGATCACTGCATTTAAGGGGTTACACAATCAGAAAAAGGTTCCCGGTGGAAACCTTTAGACTGAGGGGTGTATATCAGGATACGGTCTGACAAGAAGACAGGCCGATACATTAAAGCCCTTTATCCTTTTACTCGTATAAGTGTTTTAACGTGTCTCCATCTGGGGCGAGAGACGACCAGCAAGGCGGCGTCTGCTCTGTTCAGCGACTTCACACCAAAATGGGCCTCGCCAGCCGCCGCTTTTTGAAGGATCCCTCATTATTAATAATTGATTTACTCAGAGAGTAGATCTTGCACTTTAGTAGCGCTGAAGGTCAGCCAACATGCAAAACTGTCAAGAGTCCAATTTCTGTTGGAAACAGCAAATCTTCTGAGAGGCGAGCGCTCGGCCCATGTTCAGGCTTCACGACGCTCTGATCAGGGCACGAACAGCACACTATTACAGTTTGTTTTTGTCCTTCTTTAGAATGGCCATTACAGAGCGGTACGTCTCATCACACTGACCATTTCTTCTCAATTTTAAGTCTCTGTGTCTCGACAAAGTCTTTCTATCATTGAAACTTCAGGATTGAACAAACCATTCTTGATCAGGGAAAAGAAATAAGAAAACAGCATTCTGAGCCTTCATGATTAAACACTTTTCTCTTTATTGCTTTTTTCTCACCTTCTGCTTTCTCCACTCTCTCCCACTGAAAAGTCCTTTCATCCCACATTCATCTTTTCAGGCTTTTTTTTTTTTTGCCTTACTTCTCATTATCTGAAACTCGGGCTGTAATGGATCATGGAGAGCAGCTCTGCCTGAGCTCTCATATCAACACCAGTGGCTGGCACCACACATCTGCACGGCCAAATAATACCTATTATTTTTCAGCGCCACATTTCAGTTCTTTGACTTGGTTTGGGGCTGGGGTGGAAAGGAGCCACACAGCGTGGGACAACGTTGGAGACTGAACAGTAAGACTTTATCCGGGTAAACTTAAAAGTCACAGTCCCATAAATAAGGAAAATTCTGACAAAATAATTAAATGCCCGAAATAAATCTACTGTTTTGCACTCTTGTTGCCAGCTAAATACAACTTTAGGGTTTTATTTTCCAATGTTTTGATTTGTATGTTTTCTTTACCTGTCTCACTCCGAACGTGATTTTTTTTTTAATATTATTATTCTAGTTTTAAGTTAACCCTCTGGATTTGTGTCCTGTTTGTTCAGTCTGAGAAACTTTAAACCTCTAATGCTTTGAGTGCTCTCTCTTCTTCCTCTACACTGTAAACCTGCTGGGCTCTAAGAAAGATTTCTGAGCTGCGCAGAACAACGTGACTGATACGCCGATCCACTGAGGAAAGCAGACTGCTCAGGCTCAACGCAGCAGGAGCTCCAAAACCCCCAAAAGCCATAAACAGACCGCAGCCTGTTTAATGTTCCAGCTCTCAACTTCTCACTCGAGCGGGCTGAACGTCCCTTTTGTCTGTTTGCCTTTGAAAGGTCATATGGATTTGTTAAACATCTTCGTATCCTACACTGTTTACCATTTAAGTATCGATGGACACTTGAAAGGAAAATTCCACCTTCTGGTGTTTTTCCACTGGCAGGTATCATCAGCCAGAGCTGCTACGGCCACAAACCACAGATTGTTGTGTTAAAGGAAAAAAGAGACATGTCGTTTACTGTTCAGCAGCACGTGTTTAAAGAAAGGAACTGAGTCTTATTTGCTAAGTGGTTCCGCAGAAGTCTGACTCAGATATTGCATCCCGCACTAACGGAACAAATTGCATCAGTGTGCCTTTTTCTTTGAATTCACTCTGCAGTTGCTCCTGAGCCCGTCCGGTCTAATTGCACTGGTGGCTTTTTAATGAAAATTTGATGTTAAATTATGGAGACTTAATTTCAACAAGTCAAGCCTTTAACTTTTTTTTTTTTTTACTTTAACCCCCAACTTGTATTGATTTACTGCTGCCTGCAAAAAGTGAAAGGACACCTTAGGATTAAATCCAGCCAGTGGCTGCTTTGTTTCTTTTTTGTTCTTTGTTTGGACACTTGACCATTATTTTCCCCAACTCACCTCTTGAGTTTTTGTCATTTCGCCTGAAGCAAAATGGGAAATCAACTGGTGACATAACACCTAAGTCACAGTGGAAGCCATGGGAAATCATGTCAGCACGACATAAACTCAGAGGACAGATGGGAGCAGCAACTGGCTCAACGAGGAGCAGATGAAAGATGTGGACATGGATCTCAGTCTGTGCTGTTCTTTTTTTTCAGTTCCGCAACTCCATCTTTTGAAGACATTTCTGGATCGATTCAGTCAATTAAATCAGGCAAGAGCAGCGAAGACAGACAGTATTTCACCACAAACCCGGAACCTACTGCTTCCACGTCCTAAATGCGTGTGGTACTTACTGTTGCCATTTGAAATGACTTAAACACACACATCCCGCCTCGCTTTAATGCCTCAACCTGCCTAGGAAAACACGGAAACGGAGAGGTTCATCCTGCTTTAATAAAGCGGGCTGGATTTGCAAACAAACGCGCTGTAAGTGCAGAGCCGTTAGGAGCTGGCCAGGCTCATCGTGCTGAGCACTGACATTCTTTACCACTTTATTTCATGAGTGGAAATGCGGCCGATCTATTGCCAACATCTTATCCTGAGGTAATTGTTACATCTGAATATCAGCCCTGGATGACTGATTATATTTTGTCCAGCACAGGCACAGATATCACACAACAAATCAACAGCATCTAGCAAAAAAAAACCTTGAATAAACTGTCTCCTGCCACCTTTAAAATATTCAGATTTTGCTGAATGTAAAGACTTTGAACACCTAGGGCCCAAAATTTTATGTGTTGTTGGCACTTTGGATTTGTTCCTATCTTCAGCAACCATCAAAACTAGTTTTCAGAAATGCTTTGCATTTTGACAATAAAGAATAAATAATGAAAAATAAAGAATAAAATAATGATAATCCTAATTCTAAAAATTATACTATTTATCATTGTTATTATAAAAGCAGACTAGTACTAAAGATTATTCTCACTCCACCTCCATATTAGCTGTCCCTTACAACATGCAGTTTTGGATTCACTTCTAAGATAACTACAGTGAAACACTGGCAAAAAAAATCTTTGAATTTATTAAACAATTATTCATCTTTCTCAATAGGAGGGCAACATAAATAAAACACCTCAGTGTCATGGGGCCCATTTTCTCCCTGTGAAAGTTTTTTCTCGAGTGTAAATGGATATTGGTGGAGGCTGAGAAATGTTGTTTCAGGAACTGCGGACCTCACATGCTGAGAGGCTCTGCAGCGAACAGAGCAAAAACAGAGATTTGGGAGTGAACTATGATCAATGAGAATGCGTTTTCCATTTTAATCTGCTCACTCGTGCAGCTTGATAACAGTGACCAGGCAAAGGGAGCCTTCCCTGTAGCCTCCGTCCACATCCGTCAGACCCGCCGGTGCTTGTGACTCACCTTTCTTGATCTTTCGATGGAAGTTAATGGCGTCCACGGACGCGGTGACGATGTTGGTGTTGCAGTGCCGGGCGGCCACGATACCCGCGACCTCATCCATCAGCTTCATGGTCGTACCTGTGTCAGACGCAGGCAGTTTAACGTACGCAGCACATAGGGATAAATCTCTGCACTGACATTTTTTATTCCTTTTTTCCTGACATTATTTTCCAAAATGAGTAGACTTCTTTTGATTAACAACTTTCACTGATGACCGCTGAGCTCTCCCAGGGATTCATGACCTAAAAAATGTCCTTCAGTAGTAATCAAGCTGCAAATGAAAGGACTAGCTTTGACCCATTGGATAAGCAAAAGGTAGTGGTAACCGAGGTGACATCAGCCATTGGTTTCTTGACAGCTACTTTGAGACCTCGATTTCAACACCTGGAGAACGACCGTGTTGGTAGCCAGATCAGACGCTGTGCCATCGTGCACGTGTTGCAGGTAACTCGCCCCTAACTCAAGGTCTTCTGCGGGAGGGCTTTTCTTTATGAGCTAACGCGACCACATGATGTTAGCTGAATTCATTTGGGAACCTGCCTCAGCAGGTCACTCCACGCATTCTGTATTTCTCTGCACCAGAATTTGCATCTGGAACACGTGCGGTGTTGCTGCGGGTCTAATTCAATTTACAAAGATGATGCTGCGATTAAGTCGGTGATTGGATTTCGCCGTCCATCTCCGAGGTGAAAGGACGAACTGCTGTAAACTGCAGCTTTGGTTTGCTCTGGTCTAACTAAGACTTTCAAACAGCCCACTGTCGGGTTCTGCCATTACTGCCTAGAATTCACACTCACACTCAAACAAGCCTTTCAGGGGGTTAATTTAGTCATTAAATACAGTATTTCAAAGACGCATCAGAAGGACGCGACTGCCGGATGTAGAAGCAAATGAATTTCCAGATGCAATTAGAAAACTATCGCCATCAAGGCACATTCTCATTCAAGCTTCTTAGTCTGCCACATTAGTCCAGCGCACATCGTCTGACAGCCAAAGTGAAATGTTTCAGCAGACTTTAAGCAGCTGACTGCTGCTCTCACCTCATAAATGACAACTTATTGGTTGGTAATAAACGGCACCTCATAAACTAATTCTTGCTGAATAGTCTGGATGATTCCAACAAGTACACCCACTGCGTTAATTACTTATCTAAATGTGTCAAATCACATGGATTTCCATCTTTCTTGAAAACTCTGCATGCAACTAACAACCTCATACAACTGATAACACATTCTGAGGAGGTGGAAAGTTGAACTAATTAATACAGTCCACCTGTAAAATAATGTCCTCTTATTCCACTTCAGATTAGATTAAAATAGACAAAACAAATAGAATATGAAGTGTTGATTCACAGGACTCCAGCCAGTTCTACGTGGCTTATTATCCTGTAACTGTCAGAATATTCATAATTTGTCTCAAAGTAATAAGCTTGACAAAAGTTTCTTCTATACAAAAGATAGACGGAAAGCTAAAGAAGAAATAGGAAAGTTTGCTATTGGTTGTTATCACTGATGTATATGTTATTAACTGCACACTCAGCTTCATGGCTCATTACCAGTTTGATTCTGCAAGTTAAAAAAACAACATATTTCAAGCCTTTTCTTTCCCTCTGTTTTAAATGTGAGAATCATGTCTAAGTAGTAATCAAAAAAAGGTTCCTATAATACTTTTCCGCATGCAAAACTTGTCAAATATCTGATCTTACAGAACTGAGCGAGGAACGTTTGCACATTGCAGTGCAGCTTGCACAATGATTACCCCCATAATGGAAAGAGGCGCACAAAGTGCCGACAGAGGACTTTGCTGTTCTACACGGATGCCACACAGTCGGATGCTGGTGTCATGTGGAAAAGAAACAGTTTTCTGTTTTCTCACAGAAAGTGGGACATCTTGCATGGAGTGGGTGGGATGGAGACGGGAAAAACAAGCCTGTGGTATCTGCCTCTCGTTTCACAGGCGTTCTGTGAGCGTGCGTGACGAGCGCGTCTGCGAATGTATGTTCATTTAAAGAACTCAGACCCACCGCTGCGCACTGCAGTGCCCCGGTCGTCATCTCTCATGTTACACAAAATCAATAAATGAGCTCGCTGGAGGCTGATTTTGCTCCCAAAGGTTTGCACCATCTGCACTGTGTGGCTCTGTATAAGACAGCCAAACGCGTGGGAGTACAAACAGAATGAGCTCCCAAATTGCAGCTTTGACTGGAGAAGGAGGCCCACAAAGTTGATTAAGAGTTGAACATTAAATCTCTTTGACACAATCACACAAACTTGTCGGAGCATCATTATTCATCATATTCTGTTCTACTGGTGAGAGAGACAAGTGCATTCTAATGTTCATCCCCTGCATTTGTTTGTATACCTGGGACCAGAAACCTCTGGTCTGAAAGAGTTCAAACGATGAATGGAGCTCTGACTTTAATGTGGGGACAGGTTGTTAAACTCAGGTCGCGCAGCATGTTATGTGGTGGTTTGCTCCATCGCACACCCTCTTTGACTCCGGCAATAAAGCCCACAGATTGGTGAGTGGAGGGAGCCCACAGTGCAGGACGGTGACGACAGCGTGTCGGGCTTAAGCTCTGCGTGGGCAAGGACATATTTCACTTGCTCCTTTAAGCTGTGGCAGCACATCTTCCAAAATCCCATCTCCTTTTTTTGCATCTTTGCTACGTTGTGAAAATTGATGTGATCTCACGTAAGATTGAATTTTTTTTCTCTAAGGGCACGAGGACCGGCTAACTGCTGCTGTTCCAAGGCTGGAGTGGTCACGTCTGAGCATGAAGCACTTAAAGGAGATGGATCATGAATTCAATAAGATGAAAACACTGCATTTAACTTCTAAACTGTTCATTCTGAGCTTGAGCAGGCGCTTTGACACTGCAGTATCACAATAACTTACAGGAATAAAGACAAGTGCTGTGACAAAGTGTAAAATAGCTGTCAAAGCCCAGCGTTCTGTGTCTTGCGATGTTTGGAGACGATCATTCGGAGTCTCTCAGACCTATGTTCGCTGTGCGTAAATGGCAGCTAGTTTTGTTTGTGGTATGATCTGAGCACCGCCATCCACTGGGTGCAGCTTCTTCCATCTAACCATTTCAGATCCCAGCTGTTGGTATTTCTAACAAGGCTGCAGCAGACAGAGATTTACATCCATGAAATGAACTCAACTGTCATGAGCTGTACGGGATATCTTTGTTTTGGTCTGTGTTTTTTTTTTTTACAGTGGTGGAAGCGTAGCAAAATTTGTTTGACTAAAATATGCCGGGGAAGGACACAGCTGTCCCGGAGGAGCACGGACGCTTGTCTTTATTAATCACTTCTATCAGAGGAGCAAAGAATGCAGGAAAGCAGTCCCTTCACACAGTCAGTGTGGAAGGTTGGAGTGATCCTCAATGTGAGACTGCAAATGAGGACAGACTAGGCCAAGACAGCCCTGGGCCTGACGTTACACATTCATGGGATGACATGGCACTCTATGACTATCCCTTTGCCGTAGGGTGGGAACATGAAAGGCAGGGGGAGGAGGAGGGGTGGAGCGTGTAAAGACGAAACACAGCTCACTCCAAATGGGGGAAAAAAGCAATTATCAGCCGAGTCCCCGGTGCAGCCCAGTTTGCCACGGGGCAGTACACCTCCACGATCATCCCCAAATATGTGTGTACAATGTCCTTTATTGGCAACAGTCGGGAGAACAATGAAGTCTTTAACGTGGCATTTGTTATCCATCTACAAAGCGTGCGTATTTCGAGACCTTTTCATTGATACCAGGTCAGATTAAGTGGAAACTATTCGAGATACCAACGACCGAGAGCCAAATATTTAGAGCATAGCATGACTGACTGGCTTTGGAAATATGCTCTCACCACTCCTCCCATCTTTATACCTCTCTTCTTTTTTCCTTTTTTCTTTTATTGTCCTCTGCCTAACCTTGTTGGCAATTTTCTGTATCCTCCTGTCCACTCCATCCCCTCCCAAACAAGCGCTTTAACCATAGACAGTATCAAACGACAACATGCCTCCTAATGAGCTGTTACTATGGACACCTCGTCTGTTAACATTACTACCAGCCACCAAATCCGCCCACATTCTCATACAAGTTCCCATAAGCTGCATTTTCTTCATTATAGAGCTCCTGTACTTTTCTTTTTGTTTGTTTTGTTCGCAATTCACCCTTCAAGGTGAGCTTTGTGGAGCAATTGGCTGCAACTGATCTGTTACTGGCTTTAACCGCTCTAAACACCACAATCCATGCGGAATCGCAGAGAAACAGACTATTTGTGTCAGATAAAAGCTTTTCTACTCTTCTAAAAGCCTCATCACGCTTCCCAAAAGAAAGAACCTTTTTTTAGGCTGTTTGCTACATTCGCCTACAGGAACCGTCTCTTACCAAAAGCCTAATTTATGTTCTTCTGAAGCTCCATCTTACCACACAACCTCAAAAATTCATGCCGGAGAAGATTTGACCAAACAGAAATAAATATACGGCCATCAGAGTCAACTTAAATTGCAACAGTTTAAATGGCTACCAAGGCTGAAAGGCCCTGTGATTGGTGGAGGCTTTGTGCAGCTCTTTTCAAAGCGACCAAAATGACCAGCACCTGCTGTGCAGATTTCCCCACAGGGATAAAAGCTTCCATGCTTGGCATCAAGGCTGAAAAGTTTTATTTTGCTGCCTTCTCTGGCTGATCAAAGAGGGGCATTTTGTACTTGTGGGCACATCCAGTGCGAAGCTCTTCTATTCCACCACGCCCGGCACACACAGGCCCCCAAACAACCTATAGCTCCAGATTACTAAACATAAAAGTGTTAAGCAGACTGTTTACTTGTTGCTGATTTTGGCTTTATGAGAACTTATAAATAAAGCGGTTGGCTTCTGTGGAGTCTTTCCAGCAGATGGTGGAGCAGATGTCTGTGTATGAATAATAATATCCATGTCAATGAACGGTGAGTATCCTTCCCCTACCTCCAGCTGAACCCCTGAAACATAGGTGCAAGGCTGGTTCCACCGCAGAACAAATGAGAGGATGAGTGTTTCTGCGGCACGCTGGGTTTGTTTGTCATGTGGAAAAACAAAGGTCAGCGGCGCAGGAGCGTCTTCTGCCGTGTGCCGTCGCTTTTTCTCTGTTTCGGGGTGGGACGGTGGGCTCTTTGTTTTAATGAGACTATCCTCCAGCTGTGATAATCAACCGCTGTTCCCATGGAAACAGGCGCAAGCTTCTTCACAACTTGGAGCGAGGAGGGGAGCGGGCGTGAGATGGGAGCGTGAGACGACGAGGGGAGGCGGGTGGACTGGAAAGAAAAAAGGGCGAGGCAGAAAAGTCCAAAGCAGCCCGCCGACAGCCGAGTGAGGCGCGTTTGAGGTGAACCTGTCCGTATCCAGCACCTGGGTTTGGCATGCTCGCCACGTCCATGAAACAACCACTGCAGCTTCGGCCTTTCTGCTGCAGAGACCTCATCAGGAAATCGTACAAAGCAGAGTGCAGAGGATCTCTCTCTCCAACAGGCCGAGCACGTTCAATCAACCGACAACTGCTGACGGCACAAGAAATCTATACCCCGCGAGCATCACCATGGTTGTGCTGGTGGTATCAAATCATGCATATACTTCTGGGCTCTTATTATCCGTTTTCAGATCTCTGTCCCTGACATAAAGGCTCTAAATGGAAAAACAATGTTAATTTAACATTGTATTGTTTCTTTAAACCCCACAAGACGTCTTTGCCTTGAGAGTGTAGCCTTTGCCCTGTGCCAAGTGTTGAGCTGGAGGCAGAGCCTTCAGCTGTCAGGCTCCTGTGGATCCAGCACTCAAAAGCTGTCCGAAAGTCAAGAAATGAAACTTTCCTCTTGTCAAAGTGGTTGTACCAAAGTGATTTCACATGTTCTTTTTGTATTTTTTCATTTAACATACTCCGCTCTCTTTTTCTCTGGATAATTCAATATGACAATGAATTATAAACTATTTTCTTTTAAAAGACTTTTGTATCACCTCTATTTTTAAAAGTGATAGAAAGCTCAAGTTGAAAAAAGAAAAAAAAAGAGGAAAAAAACACATTTTTCTATTTAAAGGGACATTTTTCCTGAACCTCACGCCAACACAACAAAAAACGGAAAGCAGACATTTGTATTCCCCTGCATTAATGACCTTGACATCATTTTCAAACCTCGGGCTCCTCGGGCTGCAGATACAGTACATTTTGGGGCAGAGGGTTGTAAGACATGGTAAGAGAGAAAAAGAACGAGCACCCTGGCTGCCTGACCTGACTCTGTTATGTAAACAAAATAAGCGTAGCAAAGGCAGGAGCAGCGAGCAACAGGGAACAGTGCCTAATGAGCAATGGCATGAAAGAGTATAGAGTGCGTACGTGTGTCTGTGCATGTGTGTGTGTTTGAGTTTTCTAAATAACCTGCATGCTTGTCCCACATTTGATTTTTAATTGGACAGATTTTCCACTGAGCTCTCCAAATTAAAAAGGCAACCATGACACATGCAGCTCTGTCTGTCCCTCTGTCCCTCCTTCCAGTTCCCATTCTGCCATTTCATCCTGTCTCCTTTTCAGCGTCTCAACATCCCCTTTTCTGCTCTTGCTTCTCATCATGTGGTGTCGCTCCGATGCCCTCTTTACCTACTGACATAACAGAAATGCAAAGATAAGGCGGCAGCACCCAGACAGAAACAGAGCACCTGAAGTGACAGAAAGCGTCTGCCCCGTGTTGATAAAATGTTTGACTTGTTATGATTACAGAACTAAAGCTTCTACTAGCTGAGGGTTCGTATTTCTTTTCTTAATGAAGAAAGAAAGAAAGAAAGAAAGAAAGAAAGAAAGAAAGAAAGAAAG